GGAATAGAGGTGCCCAAGTGTAATGAGAGAGTTTTCTTTAGCTGTTCTGTGGAAAGGAAACATTAATCAGATCTCTTACCCAAACTGGATAAAGTCTGAAAATATTAAGCTGTCCTTTGAGTGAGTGGAATATAGGACACGCCCCCTCCTTGGGCGTTCCCGCACACCACTTGCTATGAAGCATTTCTTAACACGTGGAAAAGGCACCACCATTCTGGACCAAAGGCAAGCGATTTGGGTTCCACAATACCACATCTGTCCTGCCCCGGTTACTGCTGTAGACAGCATTCCTCCACTCAAAAGATGACTTGGGGAACTCAGCTACCCAACCAGATGGAATATATACATTCTTCTTTTGGAAAACAGAGTATTTCTATGCAGAAGTATCCCTGGTAAAAAGTGATCTTTTGCCCACGGAATGTTGTCATTCTCTTGAGGGCAACAAACAGAGGTGACAGTTCTCACATCCCACCTAGAACTTAGCATGGCCGGGGGCTCCCAGAAGGAACACAGAGACCATTTGCTCAGCTGGACTCCATCCCTCCAGCTGGAATGGAAGCACTGAAACTGGTGATGCAGCATCAGTGTTTGTCTTCACCCCAGTTGCATCCCTAGAGGAGGAGCTGGTGCTTCCAGGAACTGGCTTTCAGTTTTCCTTTATAAGGAAAAATGTTAAGCTACGACAACATCTTGAAGAGTTGCTTTGGGCTAAGATGCGGCGGGGAGAGCATCCTGGCTTGTTCTCAAATAGAATTTTCAATGCAGGCAGAGGAAGGTGGTTTCTCGAGTCCCTGGAGGGAGCCTTCAGGAGTAGACGTTGGGGTCCTCTGCTGTTGATGCTGCTGGTAGATATCCTGGATGAGCAGGGTGTTCATGACCTTCCACTCCCTGTATTTTCTGGCTGTCAGCTTCGGATCATCCAGCAGCTGGTTAATCATGGCCAGGTCATGTTCTTTACACTGTCCAAGTAGAAGAAAAGAGAGAGAGAGAGAGAGAGAAGAGGGTGAGATGTGGTGACTATCTTAATTTCAATAAACCATCTTCAGCCCTTTTACAAATAAACGCACATATACCTTGACCGTAAAATTATCAAAGTGTGCTTACATATTAATATTCAAGTCCCTACGACAACCCTAAGAGATATGGCAAGACACCCATTTACATAGGCTGACCGCACAGAAGGTAGGCATCCCACCCAAGACTTAGGGGAAGAACTAGGCATATAACCAAGGTCTCCCATGTCGCTCTTCCCTGATCAATCCACTATTCCACACTACAGTCATATTTCTATCTCGGTGTGAGCTTTATTCCTCCTGGAATGGATAATTGTATAATCATGCCGTTAACCACCCAAACTTCACTAAGTAAAGCTGGGGCATAGTACTTTTCCTAAGATATAAGTCAGTACAAAAATATATCTTTTTAGGGCTTCCCTGGTGGCGCAGTGCTTGAGAGTCCGCCTGCCGATGCAGGAGACGCGGGTTCGTGCCCCGTTTCGGGAAGATCCCACATGCCGCGGAGCGGCTGGGCCTGTGAGCCATGGCCACTGAGCCTGCGCGTCTGGAGCCTGTGCTCCGCAAATGGGAGAGGCCACAACAGTGAGAGGCCCGCATAACGCAAGGAAAAAAAATATATATATATATATCTTTTTAGAGATAGAAATAGAGATAGAGATAGAGATATATATTGGATCTGGCCCAACACTGAAATAGCCCACTTAAAAACTCATTAGTTGCCTTATGCTTTGCATACATCTTACCCTTTTTCCTTAAGAAAATCCCTTTATCAGGGAGCTCATTATATTGGGATAATCCTATTCCTTATGCCTTGATCCCAATACAATCTACCCTTACATCATCATCATCATCATAATAATAATAATAATAAAATATATATATATATATAATCTTTTTAGGGGTTTCCCTGATGGTACAATGGTTAAGAATCCACCTGCCAATGCAGGGGATACGGGTTCGAGCCCTGGTCCAGGAAGATCCCACATGCCACGGAGCAACTAAGCTCATGTGCCACAACTACTGAGCCTGCACTTTAGAGCCCACGAGCCACAACTACTGAGCCTGTGGGCCACAACTACTGAAGCCCATGCGCCTAGAGCCCGTGCTCTGCAACGAGAAGCCACCGCAATGAGAAGCCCGCGCACCGCAACAAAGAGTCATCCCCGCTCGCCACAACTAGAGAAAGCCCATGCACAGCAACGAAGACCCGATGCAGCCAAAAATAAATAAATTTATTTTTAAAAATATACATATCTTTTTATTTTTTATTAAATTATACCATTTTTAATAAACTTCACACATTTATTTAATATAGACAGAATAACTATGTAGGCTATCATTTTATTTAAAGAAAAGACTATTAAACTTCCATCCAAATAGTGCATATTTCAATGATGCTAGTAGACAATCTATTCATATTACTTCACCTGCCTCCTCTGTAACCAATGACACATTTCCAAAATGTCTGTCTCAGGTTAGGGGATTTTTCTGTAGTCAAGGAATGGAGTGAAACATAAGATGTTATCAGCCGCCACATTAAAAAAAAAGATCTCTCAACCTGACACATTTATCTCAAATCTCTTCCTGTTCCCTTCATCCCTGTGCGCATAATCCCACTTTCGGATATAAAGTCCACTATATCACACTTGATCTGCTGCCTCCCAAGTGAGGTTCCTGCCTCCAGTCCCCACTTTGTATCCACCCTCTGCCCGACAGTGCAAGGGGTCCTCTTAAAATTCCAAGTATTCTTAATGGCCCCCCTTCATGCCCAAGGTTGCGTGGACATGAGCCCATCCTCCGCTCCCTTCTTCCTTTCCTTTCTCAGAGTGTTGATGTGGATTTTCTCCCCAACACGTTGCTACTTCATATACCCCCGCGATGCGCCACACAGAGGATCTTCTTCACCTGCCTTCACCTGGGGGACTCTAATTCCTGGAGGGACCTTCACATGGGACATTTCCCAGTTGTTGTTGTTTTTACGGGATTTGACTACAACTCATAAAGGTATACTCACTTCAGGCATCATGCTCTCCAAAAAAACCTCTGAACCCCCGGATTGAACTGAGAAGCTTTTTGTATGTTCACGTGCCTTCCAATGCTGGGATCCAGCCCTCTTAGAACTTACCATGTTACGCTGAGATGTTCATGGCTCTGTCACGCCACCTATTCTAAAGCTTCTTAAGGAAGGTGACAGGGAACGTATTTTATTCATTCCTGTATTCCCTGTACCTAACACAGTCACGAATGACAGGTAGACATTCAATGCCTGCTCATTACTGAACTAATCTCTCTGCCTAGATCCAGGTCAGCATGTGCTAAATATTCACAACTGTGCTCACTGGTCAAAGTTCAAATTCATGACCACTGCCATTAAATGGACTTTCACTACTATTCAATAATTGTGTTTTCTTATCCCTTTCCTCTCCCCCTCTCCCAAATGACTATTTCAAAACTTCTCATTTCTACTCAAATCTCCCCCCCAGTCCTCCCTTGTAGCTGATGACGCTGCTCTTTATTTTTTTGAGGAAATGGAAACAATCAGAAGAGTAGTTCTCCCAAGCTCCTAGCACCTTCTACTACATCAGCACCAATATAAGCTGCCTTCTTTCCTGTTCATTTGGGTGAGATATCTGTGCTCCTAGCAAAGACCGATCTCTCTACTTGTGCAAGTGCGTCCTCTCTCACATTCAAGAAATTCACTTCAGCAATTCTCCCCTCTTTCCTGTGACTCGTCAATTTCCTGTCTCCATGTGATCATTCTCAGGGCGTACAAGCATGCTCTCATTTCTCCCATCGTAAAAGCCCTCCCTTAAGCCCACTTCCCTATTCCTGCTAACGTTCAGCTCTTCTCTGCCTCCAATGTCTTTGTGCCCGTTCTTTCACAGAATGTCTCCAATCAGGCTTCTGCCCCTATCCTTCCACCAAAACTGCTCTGGTTAGGGCCATCTATGACCACCATGCTGCTAAGTCCAATGATCAATTATTCATCTTCAACTTATCAACAGCATCTAAAACTGCCGACTACTCTTTCTTGAACACTTTCATCATGTTGCTTCTGTGACACATTCTCCTGATCTTTCTCATCCCAGAGTGACCGCTTATTCTCAGCCTCCTTTGCTGGTTCCACCCAATCTCTTAACACTGGTATGCCCCAGAGCTCCAGATTTAGCCTATTCTCTGTTTTACTTACATTCATGCCCTTGGAAATTTCACATACTCTCTTCCCCTCTCCCTACACACTGAGGGTCCCAAATCTACCTTGCCAGCCTTACCATCGCCCTGAACGCCATACCTGTTGATCCCTTCAGCAGCTCCACTTGGGCCTCTCCAATATAACGTATCCAAAACTTACTTCCTGTTATTCTCAATACCCCCACCTACTCCCAATACGTACTGAAACCTGCTCCTACCATAGTCATCCTCAAAGCACCTCATGGCAACTCCATCTTGCCAGTTGCTCAGGCCAGACACTGGAGTTGTCCTTGACTCCTTCTCTTACTCCCAACGTACCAGAAAATTCGGACGGTTCTACCTTCGAAATATGTCAAGCCATGGCACAGCTCTGTTGAGAACTTTCCAAAGGCTTCCTATCGCACTCTGAGTTGAAGCCAGGGTGTTTGCAATGTCAGTAAGGCATTACAGGCTATGATCCCCTGCTGCCCCTTGGACCCATGGCTCTGCTCCCCATCTTGCCTCCCCACCCCATTCCAGCCACACTGACCTCCTTACCCGTCCTTAAATGGACCAGGCACACCCCCATCCCAAGGAATGTGCGTTTTTGTTCCTGTTACTCGAAACATTCTGCCTCAGGTAGACTGAAGGCTCACTCCCTTTCCTTTTTCAGATTTTACTCAAATTCTATCTTTTAAAGAGGCTTCTCATGCTTATCCTATTTACAAATCAGTCCCTCAACATTCCTTATTCCCCTTCTCTTCTATTTGCTACCAAATGTATCATCACTTAGCACACTACAAATTTAATGTATTTATTTTGTTTATTTTTTTCACTTTTGTCTGATATATAGCCAGGTGTCTGAAAGAATGACTGACACAGAGTAGACTTTCACTAAATACCTGTTGAAAAAAATGAATATATCAAATAAGAAGTGAATGAAAGAACTAGTCACCCATTTGCCTTTTAACCTCTTTTGCATCATGAACCCTATTTAGAGTCTGAGGAAGTCCTCTCCATAAACAGACAAACAAACAAACAAAATATATATATAAAATTATATATATGATATATGTATTATTGAATATATCTGTATTATATTTACATAATATATAATGTTATATAGATGTATATTACAGATATATAGGTAGATACAGGCATAGACATAGATATAGATATAGATATATCCATACATTTGCATATAGTTTTAGGGATTCTAAGAATTGGCAGCATTTATTTTATCCAAATGAGGTATCTGCTCATGCATGATCCCAAATATTAGTGGCACACAAATGTATTTTCTGTACTCTACAATTAGCTTTAACTTACATTTTTTGGGGGGTGTTTTATTACACTTTCTTGTTTTCTTCTTTTCCTACTTCTAGATTGGTCAGAGTAATATTGATTTCGAGGGAAAGGTACCACACATATAGTAATCTGAGTGGTGAGATTTATAATTTTACAGCAAGAGAGCAAGGGTGTGGTGATAAATGGAGATCAAAAGATATATTTGGGTTTCAGGAAGGAGAGAAAATTGTGCAGTAGGAAAGTAACCAAAGAGGGATATGAAGCAGGTTGGCCACGACCCAGAAGCAGAGGGAAGAAAGGTTAGTTAATAAGTGGGTAACTAGGAAGGATTGCTGGTAGAAAGTCAAGCAGGACCAAGAGAGTTTTCTTTCTTCTCTCTGAGTTCTCCACATCTCTACTTCCAAAAACAATCTTTTCCAAAAACAAAAAAATGCTTTCATTCTCTAATATTACCATAGTTCTATTCATATGAAGTTACTTAAGGAGTGTTACTTTGTTCTTAAGAAATTTTGACACCTGTGCAGAGAGAGATCCTAATATTTTATTGAAAAAAACTAAATAAGATCTTTGCAGATCAACCAAATTTGGGAAATTGATTTTTTTAAGGCAAAAATGAATTCACCACCACACTCTAAAGGTGATAAAAGGTTTTAGGAAAGGGTCTCTTCAACTAACACTTCTCAAATGGTTTTTAGCTCTAAATAATTCAAATTTCTTACCATTCAGCTCAAGTCCGTGTTAGTTCTTTTATGGATAAAAGAAAAAACTGTAGATAAGAATAGAGAGGAAGGAAATTAATGAAACAACTTAACCCTCTGAGTTCCTTCCTTGCCTCGGCACCCTGGGGTCAACAGGCATCACGCAAAGGCCCTGCTTCTCCCCTATAGAGCAGCGGGCTCACTGGATGCTTTGAACCACTTTGACAACATACTCCTGGCTTTCTGGCAGGCAGGCAGGGTCTGGTAGGGGTTCTGAAAAATAACGTACTTCCATTCTTCACTCCAAATATTCAGTACGTGGCTTGCCTTAAGACCTAAGCACTGGAAATGTGTTCTACCAGAGCGGATGGGCAAAGAAGTGCTCGTTCCTCTTTTGACACAGGCAAGAGGAATCTTGGGAGAGAGTTTCAGTTGGACCCATTAATCATTCCATTAATCATTCATTTAAAAATAAATACAGGCTTAGCCAAAAGTCCGGGGATGTGGAGCTATCAGAAACTCCTTAAAGGTCTAATCTAAAGGCCTTTAGCGTGTGACATGATAGTTTGCTCAACGTTCTAAAAGAATTTCCATGAAGAGCATTCATTCCAATACAGTCCCAGTGAGAGGATTTTTCTTCATTTCTGGAATGTGCCTATTACTAATATAAACATTATTATTAAAACAGTTTCCTTGTTTCTGCATGAAACTGTTCTCTTTGCTTGTCCACACTCCGGCTTTGAAGTATTTTTTAAGTAAACATTTATATTGCAACGTAACACACATAGAGAAAAATGCGCATATAAGGTTTGTGCTTGATGAAATTATCACAAAATGAACACATCTGTGTAGCCACCATCAAAGTCAAAAAAGACTCTTACCCGGCATCTCAGAAGCTTTACTTGTGGCCTCTCCCAGTGCATATCCTCCCCTCCCCCTCAAAGGCAATCACTATCCTGACTGCTTTGAGTTTTAAAGACAGTTAAAATAATCTGATAGCTTTGTGACATGAATGAACATGCATGTACCAAATAATCTTTCTCTAATGAATAGGTTGATGTGCTTTTCTCTTTTTTTTCAACAAGGTCAATTTCCACATCATCATGTCCTCCTCGGAGGTTCACAGGAATACATAACATGGGGTACATTTCATCAGCCCCAGAGTAAGGGATCTGTGGAAAGGTCTTCTTTCCAGAAATGTTCAGAGAGTGCAGTTCTTCAGCTGGGTGGGGTAGAGAGCCCCTGAGATGGCCCCAATGTTCTTTGCTCCCCGGTACTCACGCCCTTCTGTAATTCCCCTCCTTGACTGTAGGAAGGCTGACCTAGCGACTTGCTTCTAATGAACAGAATACTGTAGATGCGATGTGATGTTACTCCTGAGATTGGGGTATAACCCACCCTGCTCGCTCACTCTCGCAGCTTTACTGCTCTGCAGGAAGCCAGCTTCTATTCTGGGAACTGCCCTATGAAGAGACTCACATGGGAAGGAACTGGGGGTGGCCTCCAGCCAACACACAGTGAACAACTGAGACCCTCAGTCCAACAACCTGCGAGGAACTGAATCCTGCCAACAACCACGTGAGAGAGCTTGGAAGCACACCCTCCCCCAGTGGAGGAATGAATGCAGCCCCAGCTGATGCCTGGATTACAGCCTTATAAGAGACTCTGAAGCAGAAGCACCTAACCAAGCCACACCCAAGTGCCTGACTCACAGAAACTGAAATGATGAATGTCTATTGCCTGTAGCTGCTAAGTTTGTGGGTATTTTGTTGCCTAGCAATAGACAACTAATACCTGGGAAGAAAAGAAAAAGATGCTGAGTTCCTTAAGCCTGTGGCCATAGTGCATGGAGAACAAGACGACACAGAGAACCAGCTGCGTCGGTAAAACCTTTGAATGCTTTGTACAAACCTGTGCTCCCAGTTTCCAAGCCCCTGGCCATGGTCGGGTGAAGGTCCAGAATCCTGAGTTTCCTGCTCTTTGGAAAGCTGAGACCACCGTCTTTCTCCTTCTAGAAGTAGCCTGAACTGTCCAGGCTCTGCTTAGCCTCTGTTCCCTAATTCTCCCAATGTGGGCTGCAACATCTCATCCACTGATATGCATCTGCCTAGGCCAGCTCCTCCTCCTTGAATGCACTTCCTTCTCTTCCTGATTTTCTTCATCTCTTACGATGGGCCAGTTTCAGCATCTCCATGGCATTGTCCCTAATGGCCTCAGGTAAGCAGCTGTTTCCCTCCTCTGGGCTACCAAAGCTGATAGCAACTATAGCACTTATCACATCTCATAGCAATTGTTTTCCTGTATGTTTCCATTGTCCAGTGGGGTCTTCTCAGTGGTCCCAGTGTCCTAGAGTAGTGCCTCATACATAGTAAGAGTCGGGAAGTATTTGTTCAATAAAAAATATATTTACTCGTATCAGTTATCACCAATAAGACAGTAAAATCCCAACATAGTATACGGCCTATTACATTGGATGACCAGACACATTCATCAACTCTGTAAATACTATGGAATATAACATATTTGACTTTGAAATGAGTGCTAGTGATGTCTTTCATCATTAAATGCTAGGGAATTTCCTCTACATTTGGGTTTTCTTTGTATAAATAAAATACACCTTTGCCTTTTATTTTTCAGCCTTATTTTTACAAGCCTTTAAGGGGGCTTAGGTCTCCCACTGACTAACTGGGACATCTGACTGAGTCACTCCACCATCTTTTGTAGCCTTGTCCTTTTGATATTTCTTCCTGGAGAGGGATTCAAATTCATGATGCAAAAGGACATGTACAAAACAGAATTAAATTGCAGGTCTACAAGGCTTTTCAGAATCTATAAATCTTCTGTTAATTCAGGACTGTTTTACAAAGTATTCTGGCCTCTACTTGTTTGTTCTACAATCTAAACGTGAAAGCAGGATGCTTTTCTTATAAAGAACCATTTTAGTTATGGGAGGCCATGAACATAGCTTCAGTACATCCTGTGCCCTGTCCCTTATTCTCACTGTGAAAACATCTGCTCGTCTGCTACCATGAAGTGACTGTTTCCCACTGCCCAGCTTTCATGGTGTTCTTGGCTCCAGACTCAAGAGCTTAGCATCACGTAAGTCTGCTATATCTGAAATGCAGAAAGTTTCTTCTGGATATAGTATAAAAGAACGGCACCCTTTAATGAATCAGGCAAAATCCCAAGATCTTATTAAATTTTACTGTGTATTCTCACCAGTTGACTATCTCAGGCTCTCAGCAACATTTATTATTCCAGGTAGTAGCGTACAAAAACAAGTTACACATGATCCTTGCCATCTAGGAGCTTAGTATTTGAAATTTTACACCAGAGTGAATGCAAAAATCAAGGCCTATTGTAAAAACAAAAAAAACTGCATTGGGTGCTACTGCGTGAATTTCCTACTGTTTTAAGAATGTCAAGGGTCAACTCACCTACCTTTCC